ACCTAACTCTATTTCTTTCTATATAGGGTCAAGATTGGCATGAAAGCCTAAGAGTGACTTGTTCCTAGGGAGCTTTAATTTGAAACGCATTTAATGGAAATGGACTTACAATGAATGATATTATTATTGGAATTGTCATATCTTTTAACCTCTTGATTGATCCATTTTCTACCCATGTGCATAGTGCACCATTTAATTATTTATGAAAAGAATATGGCTTTATAGGGTTCTTATTAATTACAATTTTATTTTTATTCGTATTTTCTTAATTATAATAACAATTAAAATGGCTTCAGATTATTTGACTCACAAAATGGATTCAATTAGTGTTCTTTTCATTATAATTTGATTCAAGCAGAAGACGTATCCAAATCATTTAATTTATTGCATTTTAAGTAGTTTAATTAAAATACAATGACAATGAATATAATATTAGATAATCCCAATAAAGCATAACGTAGATATATAATGATAAACCGCTCCCAAATAGAAAAATAATTAACTAAAACAAATGTAGATTTAATTAATTATAGTTAGAATTGCAGATAAAGAAAGGAAGGAGATTGAGATGGAATATTGGAAACGTTGAAAGCACGATTGGTGACTACTAGTCTATTTATCTTTTTCAATGCACTGTTAAAGTTAGTGTAACGCTATTTGTAGTGAAGAGTGCCGGTAGTCGCCTTATGTGGCATACACTTAGCAATTTGATATTTGATACATAAATATGGTAATTATTTTTTGAATTATATATCAAATAAAAAAAATGTCAAGTTTATGCCACATAGGACGACTGCTGGTAGTCTTCACTGTAAATAACATTATTCTTAAAGTTATTTCTCTTTCTTTAACCCTTTGTCTAGCATGAATACGCCTACCAATATTTGATCTTTGAGAAATAACAAGTATCATATGAAAAAAGATAAAAGGTTAAGGGTAAAAAATTATTCTATAAGCGAAAATAAATCTAGAATAATTTGAAATGAACTGGTGAATTCCTGATTTGAACAATTTTTTTCCCAAACCTAATTTAGTATTTGGTGTTGAATTTAATTTGATGTGTGTGCGTGCGCGCGCACGTGCGTGATTGTGTAAATATATATTACACAAGCATAAATGATGATGGTCAATTTACTTTTGTATTTAAGTCAATTGGATTTCTTGATATGTTTATGGGTTAGTACAATCCTTCATAACATAGAGTACCTTTTTTTTTATTGAAAGTAGAATGTTGGAATCTGTAATTTATTAAATGCTATCATTATAAATTAAAAATATACATGAGTTTGACTCTCTATTTTAAAAAGTTAAAATAAAATATTTTTGAGCTTACTTTTAAATATTAACTCTTTAAAGTATGGAGCACCTTGTATTTACAAAGTCTCTTATAGATGCTCTTACTTAGTAAATGATGACGACTATTAATTTTCATTAGTCCATTTAATAATAAAATCTATATGATTTTTTTGCTATTTTTTTCAACACATTATTAATTGACTAAAATTTACATTTTTTCTTTTCTCAAGTTGTAGTTTAAAGTAAGGAATATAATAAAGTTTCTAAGCCATGTTTAAAAAAAAAAAAATTAATATTGCTTCATATGCTAAAAAACGTTGAATAATACATCATATGTTTTTAGTAATAGATTTTAAAGAATAATAAAAAAATTAAATAAATAGTATGTGAAGTGTTGTATAAATCAATGTATAGGCGTATTTGTAATATTTAATTAAAAGGTCTTTTTGTTCTGTTTAATTTTTTATAAAAATAAATTTCTAGATGTTTTTATTTTTTCTTGTAAAATATATTTTTATATACATTAATATGAAATGAAAAGATAGAGAAAATTTTAGCGGAGTTTTGGCCAAATATAAGGTGTCTCTTTGTTTAGTACCATATAAAATTAAATGTGCAATCGTTTTGCTTCTTACATGGGACTTGGGAGATAGCTGGATGGGAAATATTTTACCACACATGCACTTCTCAAATGCCAACTTCACCTACTCTTGTCCTTTCGTCGTACCCCGTGACAATAGTTTGTGTATAAATTTTAAAACGTATAAATTTTTTCTTTATATTTATAGATCTATTGTTAAAATAAAAATATTTGAATGGAGCTGCTCTAAACACCCAATTTTTTTATGAAAGCTAGAAATTAAAAATCTACATGCTATATCAGTTGATGTCTGAATAAATTTTAAGCAATTTTTTCATTAACTGAAATCAAAATAAATAAGTTTCTTATTTAATGAAAGAAACATATCAGTTCACTTTACTTATAAACTAAACGTATGTAACTTAATGTTAAGAATATTAATGTGCTCCATTCTAAATTTATTAAAAATCAACAAATCAATTTCTAAAGCAAGTTTGAAACATTCATGATAGAGAAAGCAAAATGAAACATTCATTAAGCACTAATTTACGTTTTAACAAAAATACAAATTGGGCACCAAAATGAAGGTCTCGTTATCCAATTTTCAAATACGTCCTCCAAATTGGTTGCTCAACTGGGGGTAAAAGAGCCTAACTTTTATCTTCTTCATATTTTGGTCATGAACTTTTCTAACAATATGGTCCCGACAATATGTTTAGAACTTTTCAATTTTATTAAAATCAGTCCCTAATAATTTCTTTGAGCCCAATCTCTTCTTATTTTTAATCTAAAAAGGGCAAATAACTCGACTTTCAAGGCAAATGGTTAATTTCAAAACATGTTGCCTACTCAAGTATTCAATTTTAAAATAAATAAAAATGGAAATAAAAGTTTCAAGGTAATAATAGTAACCGAGATCGAAATATTAGGAATATCATATGCAATTAGTTTTGCCTGGGAAAGGGATGGAGCATTTGCGGCTGGATAGCATTTCGTCACATGTGGTGCACCTATTAATGTCCAAGTCGAATGTGCCATGTTATTTGCGGTCGAAAATTCATGCATTCCAGAGAAGGGAGTAGCGAATTTGTCATACTATATTTCCAGAATTTCCCTTTTTATTTTAATTTATTTTGATAGATGACAATAAATAATTGAACATATAAGACATTTATGCTTGACAAATTTGTCATATTTATATTTCGAAGACTTCCCTCTTGCCTTGCCATTTCACCATACACAAAATCCCATAAAACATACAGTACCTTTATGCATTAGCATATTCTAACCGTGAAAATTATATTTGTAAAAATAGAAATACGGTAAACCATTAAAATTTCAACTTTAAGAGTAATTTAAATTATGCAAAAATATTCATGCCCTAATTCTCAAAATATTGATTTTCATTAATATTTCAACTTTTCATTAAGGCAATTACAGCAGGCCATGTGATGGCCGGAATTAAAGGGAGCATAAATAGTTACCAAAATTTATTGCAATTTCCTTTTTCATATAAAAATTGTCATAATTATTTCTGCTTGTAGAAGTTTCGATCAAACAATGCATTAGGAGTCCTCCATTTTAAACATTGTATATATTTTCAAACCAACTAATTATTTACTTAATACTTTAGTTGAGTTATTATTTATTTATGTGACTTTTTGTTTAGACTGGTGGATTTATTCTCGAAAATAAAAAGAATATGCTAAACATTAAAAATATTTTTATTCACAAAATATGTATGGGCTGTTATACATCATCCTATATATATACACTATCGAAGAGCTCATTACGAACATTATAACGTATTAAGAATCGCATCAAACGGATAGCTACAATGATCACACAACCATCTAGAATATGGCTTCTCAAACACTTATTATTTGAAACACTGAAATTTTTTCCAGTAACTTGTTTTTTAGGTCCCATTTTCACATGCATTTTGAGATGTTAACTTATGTCAAAAAAGGTACCAAAATGAAATTCACTTTATTCACTTTTCATAGGATGTCCACAAAGTTAGTCGGTCAATTGGGGTAAAAGTGCTAAACTTTTACCTTTTCCGACATTTGGTGATGAAATCAACTTTTTCCCACCAAGTTCAAGTCCCAATAATATTTAGAACTTTTCATTCAATTCTGTCCCTTATAATTTCTTGAAGCCCATCTCTCCTTATTTTTTATTTAGGACAAATACCTCAACCTTCGGTACCGAAGATAGTTTAATTTTAAAACATGTTTTCCACTCAAATATCCGAATTGATGATGCCTTTTCTTCTGATGTGCACATTTCACCGTCACCTAACTATGTATGAAGAGATTAAGGTTTGATAGAGTTCTTTTTTTGTGAATAAATAATTTTTTTATTTTAACTTAATATTTTTATTTTCGAGAGTGGATCAATGATTCTAAAAAACATATCCCATAAATAGATAGTAATTGAGCAGAAGTCGTAATTACACAATTAGTTTTATCTGAAAATATATGCAATGTTTAAAATAAAGGACTTTTAAAGCATTTTTGATTTTTTTTCATTCAGCTTTTTCAAATGGCATCATTACTAAAACAATGATGAAAAATAAGGAACAAAATTTCTGTCATTTATACTGAAAAAATCAACCACGATTAATCAACAGATTATTACTTCTTATTTATTAAAAGGAAAACGTAATGACAATAGTCGTTTTTTTTGTCAATTATGATATGTTGAAAAACTCTAAATAAAAATAAAACTTTAATGTCCCTCCTGTATTTATAAATAGCAATTTTCTAAATGAACATTGAATATTTATAAATGAGAACAAAATTAATCATTACGTAGTTTTTGAAAGATTGAAAAAATTACTTTTCCCTCCTGTATTCAGGTAGAGTTTGTAGCTACCCATGGCCAGTCATTAAGTAAAAGTCAAATTATTAAAAATATAAAAGAAAATTATTTTATGTGAATTAGACATCCACACAGATGACTACACAAAAGGGGAAAAACGATGAGTAAATGAGTAACCCTTAATTCTTGAACGCATGGACAATAAAAATTTTGATAACTATTTATAATCTAGTAATTTATGCTTTAATATTTGTATATTGATAGTTCATAAGTTCACATTGAAGTAACTAAGCTAATTTCAATCGAAGTAGAGGAAGGCGTCAGCCATCATCTTTCCAAATCTAATTTGACCAGGAGTGCTAAGGTGAATTGGGTCATCATTCAACAACTGTAGCCCCTTTGCATCGACTGTTATGACATTTGGAAGTTTGACGGCCCACTGAGCTTTTCTTACGATATCAAAATATGCTCCTATTCCAGATACCAAAGCCACCTACACCATGACAACGAAGAAGTTCGAATCAAATTGTAAAAGAAACTTTTGTCAACAATATGATGTCATATTACCTGAATAATTGGAAGGTTTGGTAGAGATAAATAAGTGCGAATTACATTGAAAAACTCTTCTATTCTTTTCTTGTACAATTCGGCATCCACTTCTTTCTTTGTATCACTCTCACCTTGATACCATAAAAGCGCCCGAATTTCACCACCATCTTCCAATGCAGCCTTGGACCTCTTCATGAGTCTATCGTACAGAGGTGAGCCTTGTCTCCAATCGGCTATAACGGATCCGCCAAAAGCACAAGGAACAAAACCAATCACCCCAATATTGGAATCCTGTTCCAATACATAATTGGCAAATGACGTACCAAGTCCCACCCCCACAAGTTTTATTGTTGTACATATCTCGATGAAAGGGCTCACATGCTACCTCCCACGTAAGCCCAGTATTAAGTCGTACAATTGAGGGTTGAGAACGGCATTCTGGTGGGATATATCCAGTCCAACTGTCATTAATCACACCCACACGCAATTATCAGGGGCGCGCTCTACCACTGAGCTAATAGCCCGTCGTGCGAGCCTCCCACTGGGGGCCCGCTATGCCAAAAGCGAGATAAACCCCATCCCTCTCTTTCCTTTTTTCGGGGGACGTAAAAAAGGGGATCCTATCAACTTGTTCTGACCTAGGATAATAAGCTCATGAGCTTGATCTTACTTCAACGTCGAGAAACTAAAGAAGACTTCCATCTCCAAGTTTAACTCAGACGTGGCTTCCTTTTTTTTGTTTTGGGTGTGAAGCAGTGTCAAACCAAAATGAATCTACTGCCTTTCATTTTTTTTTCTCTGTAGTAATATGTAGAGAAGATTCCTTTATCAAAATACATGGAAAATAAGAGAAGATTCATTTATCAAAATACACGGAAAATAGAAAAAGGTAGTAAAGTATGATGAAAAACTCTAAAAGATAGTCATCAATATTCAACATTGAAATCTAAGATTCGGGTTATCTTTTTAAAATATATATATAATTATCTTCACAAGATTCATGTTACTAATCCCATCTATCAATAAAAACATACATATCGTAATTTAGAAAAAAAGATGTTACTTAACCAAAGATGGTTCCAAGTTTGCATGTTACTTAACCAAACACTACTAATAGCTTTTTCTCTTTTTTTGTTTACACAGTTTTGGTTTCCAACAGTATTCCTATTCCTTTACACAAACATGTCGCCAACTTTTGATTCTAAATACTTTTGAATACGTTCAGTTAATCGCTATATTAATGGTGCCATAATCACATACTTAAAATAGTTCATCACGTTTTCGTTTTCAAATTTCAACAAATTTCCAAAGTGAAAGATTAGGAAAAAAAAATTAAGGTAGTGGTTGGTTTGCATTTTCATTTTCAAAACAATTTTTAGTTTTCTCCAAAAACGGCCCGTTTTTCGCGTTTTGAGCGTTTTCGACATTTATAACTGAAAATGTTGAAAATGATAAAAAGTCGCTTTGCGTTTTCAGTTATAAATTTTAACTCGTTTTCGAAAACGACGAATCAAACGCATTTTCCCCGTTTTCGAAAATGAAAAATGGACGGAAAAAGGCAAATCAACCACGGCATAAGGTTTTGACAGCGTCCACAAGCTATTTAAAGTCTACAGCATTATTGCATCACATAATTGTAAGTTTTAAGAAGGAATCTTGAATGTTGATGAAGGGTCTGGATTGGTGAACATCTCGTCACTCTCCACCACCATTTCACATAGAATTTGCTGGATTCTCCAAATAAGCATGCCTTTGATCAGGGACGGATTCAGGATTGGATTCACGATCGGGCTACTACGTGGGAAAAAAATTTTACATATAAAAAACTGATTTTTTTTCCAAAAAAAATAAAAAATACCTTAAAAAAAAAATTTGGACCTGGGGGGGCTACAGCCCAGCCCAGTTCCTCCCCCCCCTGCCCCCCCTATATCCGTCTCTGCCTTCGATGGGCCTATTAGATGGTTCTGGAGTCATATTTCAATTTATGCAAGTTTCTAACTGAAGAAGTTTAATGTTTTTTATACACTTTTTTTGCGGTTCCACGTGGCTTCAAATCACGATTTTAGTGACATAAAAGTAATATCATTCACGTGAAAAAAACAAATATATTAATCTGAAATTTTATTATAATGCTTTAATTGATTTTGTTTCAATACCAGTTTAATAATAAAATTTAAGCTATAGTTAGGAATGAATTCTTTCATTTTATCACACCGTAGCAATTTTTTTTAATCATTCGAGCAAAAACGGTATCGTTGTTTTCAATCATTTCTCCATTTTCACACACCACTTGACTGCAACCATCACCTCTACTGCAATGTTTCTCTATTATCGCACACTACGTCACTTTATCTAATCCAATACTAGTATACAAAGAAAATAAATTAAATGATTTAACAAATTAAAGAACAAAAAAAAAATTGCAGACAAAAATAGAAAAAAAAAAAAAAAAGGTTTTTAAAAGTTTTTTAATTCAATTAAAATAATTAAAATTAAAATTAAATATTATTTAACTAAAATTGAACAAATTACATTCTATCATAAAACGAAAAGAATTAAAAAGAATTTTAAATCGAATAAAAAAAGATTCACTTATAATATAAAAAAAAAATTTAATTAAAAAAATATATAAGAAAAACAAAAAAAAAGTTACAAAAATTAAATAAAGAATATATAAATATTATTTAATTGAAATTGAAAAAAAAAATTAAGTTTAATCATGAAAAGAAAAGAATTAAAAAGGATTTTAAGTTGAAAAAGAATTAAAAAATAAATAAGGAAACAAATTCTCTCTGTTAGATCTTTCTCTCCATGAATCGAAGACCCAACGGATTCTTCCAATGTATCATTTTTGGATCCAATAAAATTCATAGGTATAGGAAGAAATCCCTCTCCATGGAATCTCCTCTTCTAGATAGACTCAAAAATCGATTAGAGTTATTTTTATATCACTTTGTCTGAACTCCCCTTTCATGGAGAGTTTTATCTCCTTTGAAAAGGGAGTGAATTCTATTTAATTCTTTTTTGGTTATGATAAAATTTAATTTTTTTAATTTTAATTAAACAACATTTATATATTCTTTATTTAATTCCCGTGACTTTCTATTATTTAATTTGTATTGTTTTTATTATATTCTTTTTCTTTATATTATAAATAATTTATTGTTCGATTTAAAATTATTTTCGATTTATCATTTTTCAAATTTTTATTAATTAAATTTTATTTTTAATTATTTCAATTTGGTTAAAAAACTTTATAATAACCATTTTTTTGTTTTTTTATTTTTCCCTGTAATTTTTTTTGTTCTTTCATTTGTAAAATCATTTAATTTTTTTATTAGTATTGGTGTAAAACATAGTTACAATTTGGTTCGTTTAATTTTTTGAGATGATGCTTTATTTCATTAACTTTTCTACAAATTGAAGAGCAAAAAATAAAAATAAAAATAAAAGAATTACAGGAAAAAATAAAAGAAAAAACAATAAATGTTATTAAGATGTTTTAATTAAATTGAAATAATTAAAAATAAAAATAAATATTATTTAACTAAATTTGAACAAATTACGTTCTATCACAAAACGAAAATAATTAAAAAGAAATTTAAATCGAACAAAACACTATTCACTTATAATATGAAGGAAAATGAAATTTTAAAAAAAAACTCAAAAAATATATAAGAAAAACAAAACAAAGTTACAAAAATTAAGTAAAGAATATATAAATATTATTTAATTAAAATTAAAAAGTTAAGTTTAATTATAAAGAGAAAAGAATTAAAAAGAATTTTAAATTGAAAATAAAAATTATTTATTATATGAAAAAAAATATGAAAAAAAAAAATCTCTCCTTGACCGTTTCATGGAGAGAAACTCTCCTTTCAAAAGGAGAGAATTCCTTTGAAAGGAGAGTGACTCTCCATCATCCACGAGAAAATTTTCTCCATATTTCTTTTTGATTTAAAATTCTAGTTAATTCTTTTTTTGTTTTGTTAAAATTTAATTTTATCAATTTTGATTAAATAATATTTATATATTCTTTATTTAATTCTTGTAACTTTCTTTTATTTATTTTGTTTTGTTTTTACTATTTTTTTTTAAATTTATTTTTTTCTTCATATTATAAATAATTACTGTTCGATTTAAAATTCTTTTAGTTTCATGATAGAATGTAATTTTTTAAAATTTTACATATTACAAACTTTATAGGAGCCTCCAGGCCCGAAAACCCCTTTTTTTTTTTTTTTTTTTTTTAATAAAATTTCATCCCTCTCTTTTCTGATACATTTTCCGTTAGTCGTCACCTTCACGCCTTGAGGCGTAATTAACCAATCTGCTTATTTGGAAACTGAAAAGGAAAAGCTCGTAGATTATAAGTCGGTCGTCTACCTACCACTTGGTCCAAACAAACATACGCGTGTTATTTTTTTAATCGAAAAATGTAT